TATTTTCTCTTAAAGAATTTTTAGAAGTTTAATAAGACTATATAAGTGTAATATTTCTGAAGTAGTTAAAAGAAAAGAGATATTTAAAATTAATAAAAAGATTAATATTATTAATCTACAGACTGCTGCTATTCTAATAAGACTGCAGCTCACTGAAAAAGTAAAAAGAAGAATCAGAGTCTACTTATCAATAATTATATTCTTATTAAACTTATTCTTCACTATTGAAGTCTTCAGTATTAATATCTTTATCTGCTGAGAAGTTAGCACTGCAGCACTGCAGAAGAGTAGAAGAAATATATAAAATATTAACTTATTAACTTATAAAGTATCTCAGTCATTTACTTTAATTAAAGTAAGATTCTCTTCAATCAGTGATTAATCTCTGTAGTACTTTTAACAGCAGCATCAGCTGATCTCTTCTTAGAGTCAGTTATTCTGAGATATTTTTTTATCTCAGAGATTCATACTTTCATCTTCTTTTATAGATGAGTAAGAAAGATCTCTTCAGTCTTAATAGAATTTATTAATACTTAAAGCTCTGAGACTCTCACTCTGTACTGCTTAAGTATCTGAGCTTCTTATCAGAGTTAATACAATGTCTTCTTATAGAGTAGATAATACTTACAGAGAGATAGAAGTTATTATTACAGATATAATAAAAATAACAGAAGTAAGAGAAGAAGTAAGTGTATAAAATCTCTCTCTTCTTCAGCTGCTTGACATAGTACAGATAAGTAGTGATGCTAATCAGAGACTGTATCAGAGTCTTCTTACAGAGAGAAGATAAAGAAACTGCAGAACTCTGTGAACTTAATTTAGCAGTATTCTAAGCAGGACTCAGACATGTCATGAAAGAGAAACTATGAATTAAGCTTCTCAGAGTCACTGTTCTCAGAATCAAGCTCTTCTCAGGTTTCTCTTCAAATGATTACATAGAGTTATACATCACTGTATTGACTGAGAGAGAAGGCAGTGTTATAATAGTAGTGAGAGAAGCAGGGAACAGACTGGATGCAGATGCACTGGCCAGCAGAAGAGATGACATCTCACTACAAGGCACAGCAACTACTGTCACAGTTGTAAGAGAAGTAGAAGAAGATGTGACAATGAAAGCAGTGCTCCCACAGCTCATTGACATCACTGTCTTCAACCTGACTTTCTTAGCAGTCACAGAGACCGCAGCCGCATCATAAAGACATTTATTACTCACTAGAAAACATCAGAATAAGCCCTCTATTATCTCTCAAGAATGATGCTCTCATGCACTTACTATTACAGATGAGAGAGAGGGAGAAAAATGTATCATAGAGAGAAAAATCTTTTCAAAAAAATCCTGTTACTACTGTTAGCTTTGTCTCTAAAACACATTACTTTTGCAGAGAATTTCATATATAGAATGAAATATATTAAAAGATCTGTAAGTCACTTGTTAATTATGTTTTTCACATTTCAAATTGATATATAAGAAACTCACTTATCACATATTTGATTTGAATAAAGATGAGAAAAGAAAGATCTATACAGTTAGTAGAAAAACTCATCTTTATATTATATACAGCACACACACTGATAATTGATTAGTAACTGTTACTATATAATAAAGATAATTTCTAATCTGATAATCTTAAGAGTATAGAGACTATACTCTTAAAGAAAAGAGTATTATCACACTCTCAGCTGTATCAAGACTCTGTTACAGTTTCATACAGTTTATTACTTTCATGTGAATAATTTCATCTTATCTGAACTAGTTTTCAATCACTCTATAACATTATTCAGATATATCATAGAAAGATTTGATTAATAAGTATGAAAATCTCACTTCTATATAAGATCAGCAGATTACTCTTTCTTAATAATAAAATATCACTGAGATATCACTTCAGCTATTCTTACTCATAGAATGAGAGAAGAGTATTCACTTATTATCTATATAGAATAGCTAGATACTGACTTCTTATCAAAGAAGTTAGCAATTCATTTTACTTCTACTGAAATATACACAAGAGTTACTGTGTATCTTATACAATCTTCTTAGTATACTAAGTATCATATCTGTGATATTCTCATAATAACTCTGTAGTCTACAAGCTCACTATTCAAGTAAGATAGTCAAGCTCACTTATACAGCTTTTCAAAACAACTATCTCTACATAACACTGCTGACTAGCCACCGCTTCGGTTCCGTCACATTACAGTATGAAAGAGAATTTTAACTTAACTTCATAGATTCATCATTTCTATATCATCTTAGAATCTTAGAATAATAATGTTCTTATAATATATCTGATTTTTATATTCATATCTTAAGTTCTTAGAATAGAAGTATCATCTCAAAGTTGATCAGTGTGTTTTTAAATACAGGAATTTTGATTCAATTTCTCATACAAAAAAAAGCTCTTAGAAATTCTGAGATTAAAAAATATGATTATTTTCAAGAGTATACATCTATCTTAAATATAGATTTTTTTGAAATATTAAAGAAATATTTCTATTCTTCTTCTCTTTAGCTATAAGCTAAGGTGATTTTCAAATCTCAAAGATATGTGAGTATATAGTAATAGAAAGTCAAAGTTGAAGAATCTGAAAAATTCTTGTAAATCTCAGAAATCTTCATTGAAGATGGAATCATTTCTTCTCAGACTCTCTGATGAGAATTGCTCTGAGCACATGACTTGTATCAAAAGTAGGTTAGTGTCATGCCGGATTAACTAGTTAATAATAATGCTGCAACCCGTTCAAACCGAGCCAGAGGTCTGAGCCCGCTGAGATAAGGTTGTTTGCTTGATTACATTCGGCAGTTGACTAGGCTCCAGCCTTGGCGGGAGGTTCATTGGTTGATATCTCGACACCGCCTGACACAGTGCCTCTGCGAGACTTAGAGGAGGGCGAATGGCACAGGAGAGTAGAATCATGAGTCACAAGCAGAGTAGGCTCGAGCGCCCTGACAAACCAGTCTCGGGTATTTGTTTGGTGATGGCATCTGCAGCGCTCGCCCCCAGCAGATCCGTGTTGGGTTTCAACGCGGTAATGAACCGTTGGTCATAATTATGACTCAAGAATCTCCATCCAGATCAGCCTAGTTGGCGGATTTTGCGCTGGAGTTTGAGCTTTGTAAACAAGGTCCTGAAAACTGAAAAGCGAGGCTCAAGATGGGGGGAAAATGCATGTGGCTTGGCCCATATGCTCAGCCACGTTCTCGCCACGTGACCTTCACATTTCTGCTTCCTTCCTATTTTGTGAACGGCTTTTGTTTCGGCTGAACTAAGGTCCTGGTCCGTTGATTGTCACGTGAACCAGGGAGGTATTGGATTCCTGGATTTTTGAAGTCGAGGTTTCATATGTATACTTCTATATTTGCCCTGATATCCACGATAGCAGATTTGGTTCCATTATTTTGAATGATTAAAAACTACCAGCATATAAATCATGGCTAGAGACGACTTGAATGCATGATTACTACCGCTCATCAACAACAAACCTCAAGAAGCAAAGCAGGAAATTAAATAAAAAATCAGAGATAACAATGTTCAAATCACTACCAAATTGTGAGTAGAACTAGCGAGTGCAAAGACATTTAGAGAGTCACCCAAAGAATATGTTCTGATGGCTATGTTATTTACTAAGATAGTTACAATGCTGATCATTGAGAGGCAGGCATTGGCAGTGATTGTGCAGTAAGACCGTGAGCCCAGTGAGTAAGAAATTTGAAAAGCTTGATCACGGTATTCACTTCATCTCTAGCTATTCTTGCATTGATAGGGATATCTGCACACACTTGTATTGTGTGACAATCTTGATACAGGGATGAATAGAGAACTTGATTCACTCAGCATATTGCAGAGATATTATCAGTGTGACAAGTTACACAGTATGTTGCATGAAATGATTGATTCATATAAGACAGTCATAGACAGTCACAGCTGTCTAAAAAGAATGAGCAGAGCTGCTGTGACTGACAGCAATCTGAGACACAGAAGCAATTCCCAGCAATATATCTATCATTGTGTATTAGTAAAGAGAACAGCCTGGAAGAGAATATGCAGTAAAATGACAAATGAATATGATATGCATTTATCAGTCTCAGAACCAAGTCACCTGCTGATTATCCATTGTTGTCATTTGTCTAAATGTGAAGGCTTTAGAGCGGGATGACATGCAGATGAGTCAATGTAAATGATCAGTTTGCATTGATAGAAATATCTGCACATGCTTGTATTGTGTGACAATCTTGATACAGAGATGGATAGAGAACTTGATTCACTCAGCATATTACAGAAATATTATCAGCATGACAAGTTACACAGTATATTGCACAAAATGATTGATTCACACAAGACAGTCATAGGCAGTCACAGCTGCCTAAAAAGGATGAGCAGAGCTGCTGTGACTGACAGCAATCTGAGACACAGAAGCAATTCCCAGCAATATATCTATTGTTGTGTGTTAGTAAAGAGAACAGCCTGGAAGAGAACATGTGACAAAATGGCAAATGGATGTGATATGCATTTACCAGTCTCAGAACCAAGTCACCTGCTGATCATCCATTGTCACCATTTGCCTAAATGCAAAGGCTTTAGAGCGGGATGACATGCAGGTGGGCCAATGTAAATGATCGGTTTGCAATAATAACGGACTGCCCTAACTTCCTACCGCCTGCCTCGTCAGAAGGAACTCCTGATGCACAACCTGTTCAGCGGTTTGACGAAGCGTGTCACTTTGTAGGTGGCAAACGCTTAACGGAAAGGAATAAGACACAATATACATAAGAGGTTGTGGAGTTAACATCGTGGTGGAAAGTGAGCTCTAATTAGCAATGGAAACTGCCGGGTTCTCCCTATAAAAATGTGTCACAGAAGAGAGCAAGGCCATGGTTTCATGAATATAATCTCAAAGTGGAATGATATCCATTCCTTCCATGTGATGCAGTAGGTAAACTTGATGGAAGCTCCTTCTAACTTCTGACAACTTGTGTACAAGGTATGGTCAATCATTTATCAGACGTGGCATTTTCTTGCCTCCAACTTTTGCCTTTTGAATTGTCCCCTACCTATTTCTAGGGTATTACCATCTCCCTCTTCCACCTCGTCTCCAATATGGTCTGTAAAGCTCCATTGCGGGGCGTCCACATACTCAGAGTCCGTTTCGTCAGCTGAAGTATCAGACTCCACGAAAACTGGGCCAGCCGTTGAAAAAGAAACTGTCCCACTGCCAGATGATGCAAAAGACTGAGATTCTGTACACACTCCTGGAACCTTTCCGTTCGCAGCCTCAATAAGTGCGTCTCTCGCTTCCTTCGCCCAGTCACGGGCATTTCGATATGCAGTAGCTCCATGCCGAAAGGTATCTGCATTGCCAGTCATGCCCCAAGTATTGAGTTGAGTCATAAAATATTCAGGACGATTTCCAGAATCGGTTGGCTTCGTGCAATGAGAGGTGTATAACTTGAGCGTCCCATCGTGGTATGTTGATGTAATAGTATAAGCCTTGTGATCATAGGCTGGGTTATCTTGCCCATATGGCTGAAGACTCTGAATACCTCGAGCACCCAACGCGCCATCATAGCAAGCCTGTCTTCTAGCTACAGCAGCAGACCCATCGGGTCCCTTTGCTTCCAGAAAGAAATTTGGCGCCATTGGAAGACTGTCCTGTGTCGAAGGAATGATAAGATCATTGAGCTCGTTGCGAATATTTCGGTCGAGCTGTTCAGGTCGAGCTCCGTAGAAATGATCTGGCTTACCAGCGGCAAGAGTCCCGTCTGTCAGGGGAGCAAGGTTTCCAAATGGGTATCCACCTCCGGCACATTTGGCGTCACGCATCTTGCCTTCAATAATTGGAATCACCGAGACCGTTACTGGTTGCTCTTTAGATGCATGTGCATCTGCCTTCTTGAATTCTTTGAATTCTTTGTCAGAAAATTTTGATGGTGAAAGAGAAGGTCGAGGTCTGACTAATCTTTCATTAATGTCCCACCAGTTGTTCGGTATTGGCGGGATCTGACCATTAGGATACTCGTATTCTGGGGGATAGACACCGTGATCGATTAGTTTCTGTTCGAAGTTACGTTTATAAGCTGTGGTGCTGGTGGTTTTGGTGATTTCGGTGCTCTGCGTTTCTCTGCTTTTTATAGATGGAGCAGATGTTGCAGGTCGCTTTCGACCCTGAGAACTGGACTGGCTGGACGGAGAAATTTTGGGCAAAATGAGCATTTAGCACACAATCTATATAGTGATCATCTGAACTTTTTTTCTGATGATAGAAGATGTCTTTTCTATCTCTAAGATATTCAAGTTTTTTCATTCTATATCATACTGTCACTTCATAGATATTGTAAATATCAACTCTTTGAGTAAGTTCACTTCAGATTAAGATAATTGTTAAGAACAGTATCTACAACTTCTGCAGTAGTCTTCTCACATGATGTTAAATAATCAGATATCTATAATCTTTTCACTTTATCTGATATTGTCTGAGAAGTAACTGTATAATTAAGAGAAGTAAGACTTACTGAATGTTATGAATTTTTTCTTGAAGAAGTCTAAATCATAATATTATCAGAGTAAGTAGAGTATATGATAGTATTATAAAGAATAAGTAACAGTGATTTAAATTTATTCAATTCACAGATGAATGTGTTTTTTTATATTCAGTTTAATCTGTCATTTCAATTAAATCAGAGGCAGTGACAGGTATTTATTATTAAAAGTAGCTAATCTCAGAAAAGAAGAGATGAGTCTGAGTTTACTTCTTGAGTTTGATTTATCTGTACTAAGATAGTTAATCTAGAATTCTGATGACATTACAGTTAAAAATAGTTTTAATTATTTCATTAATATTTACAATTTCTTTTTATTGACAGCTATAATATCAAGCATATCAGAGAGACATCAAGATGTGATTTTAAGATATGAATTACAATACAGATATTAAAGTAATTCAAGATCTTAATAATCACACTGAATAATCTGAAAATGTGAGTATTAAAGACACTGTTTTTTTATTTCAGTCATCTTATTCAGTAAGAGTAAGAATAAATATTACTCAGTATTATTTCAGCTGTCTATTTTCAGTGCTTTATAACATGAATTATATAAATCTGCAGTTATTTATTATTTTTTCATTAAAATATAGATATTTATAATTAAATATTTATCTGAAGCACTTTTTTCTGTGTTTAATAGTAGAGAATTTATATATATATAGAGTGATTTATCTTCTTAAGATATTTCTCTTACACTTAATATGATTATGACTTTGATACAGCTCTCAGAGAAAGATGATTTCTCAGAAATCAGCTATTATAAGTTTAAAAATCATTATTCTTATAAATTTCAAGATATCTTTAGTTCTCAGAATATCTCTTAGATTTGAGAGAATCACACTTTTTTTTAAGAAATTTTAATTAACTTATCTTAAGATAGCTGCTTATAATATTACTGCTCTTAATATTTGAGATTCACACTTTATATCAGAATATCATGATTTCTGAGATATTTTATAATTTCAAGACATCTTTAGTTCTCAGAATGCTTTTATATGAGAGAGATCTTTATTTTTAGAATGTTATGAAATTCTGAGAAAATTCAATCATACTTTAAATCTATAAAGTTATGATTCTGAGATAACTTAAAGTCTATATTCTTGATCTTATCATAAGATAAAAAGTATTTAAAAATTATTAACTTATACATCTACTTTCAGTACACTGTTATATCTCTCAGTATCTCTTATCAGCTCTTTATATATTTAATCATTTATTTTACACTCTCTTGATTATTGATAAACAGATTGAGATCTTAACTTAAGATATTATTTAAATACTGTAATCTGAACATCTTTTAACTCAGCTGTCTAACTGCTTCTGAGTACAGTCTGTTCAGTCTTAAGAGTTCTTGATTTATAAGTTCAAATTCACAGTCAGTGTATTATTCAGTTGATAGAAGTTAATAAAATATTATAAATTTATCAGTACTTATAAAAGAGACAGAGTGTCTGCATACTTAAACTTATAATTTAAGTCAGTGTTATAGCTGTGTAAGATATTCTTGATATTTTAAGAGATTAACTAACTCATCTTCTGAAGAAAGATGTTATAATACTCATATAAGATATTTAGAAAGATATAAAACAGCTTACTTAATATTCTTTCAACTCTGATTAAGATCAGTTATATAAACTTTTATTTTATTATAATAATACACTTATCAGTCTTAATTTACAATTCACTGTATAATATCAGTGTAAGAAGTCTCTATGAAAACTTCTACTGTAGTAGATATTAATTACATACTGAGTTAAGTCAGTTCTTCAGCTTTATATACTTTTCTTAATATTTCTGATCATTGACTGAGAGATTCACTTTGTTCAGCAGCTTGAGATAAGAATAGAATATAATTAGCAGATTTCAGAAGATGCAGATATCAGCTTAGTCTGAAGTATTAGTATCTATAACTAGCTTCTCAACATTCTGTTTCACTGCTGCTGATATTAACTTTCAATATTTATAGTAATTCTCATAGTAAAGTTATTAATCTGACAGATATATTAGAAAAAATCAGCAGAGTATTATATAGATTACAGTTTCTGTATCTAGTATATCTAGAATACTTATCAGCATTGTATTATTTTCTGTAGAATATAGTATAATTAAGTCATTATACTGTTAAGTAGTAACACATATCTCAGCTAGCTATTTAATGATTATAAGACTGATAATAATGAAAAATAGTTGTATTAAAAAAGATGCTTTTCAGTAATATTTTACATTACTCTATTAAATCAGAATGATGTATATATTATTAGACTTAAGTATCTTATTTAAGATGACTATAAGTTCTATAAATAACTTAACATTGTGAGATTGACTGATCTTACTAGACTGACCGTGTGACTGTGTCTGAGATCAGAATCAGATTTTTTACTAGTCTCATTATCAATTCAACTGATCTCATTACACAGTTTTAACATTAGATAGTAGTTTCATACTGTTTCAGTGAGACTTACTGTCTACTCTTATCACATTTTTTAAATGAGATCATGATTTTCACTTCTCAATTTAAATTATTTTTATTGCTTTAAATGACTTTAAATCTCATTTGAGTATTATCAAAAAGTGTTACTTTTTAAAAAATTAAAAATAGTCTAAAAAAAACCTTAAAATGTTTAAAAATAGTAACTTTATGCTAAGAATGGGACTAAATGAGATTAAATGAAATCACTTTCTCATTTTTTTCAAGTCATGGTTTCATTTTAAGATCTGATATATAGTCACTTTACCTGTTTTTTTAATAGCCAGTTCCAGCGGGATTCACGCCAAGAAATGTATGAGACCAGATTAAATGAGATCAAATTTGAAATTCATGATCTCAGCGGCCAGTCTAGATCTTTCTCAGAGATCTGAATCTCTTTTTCTGTAATTTCAGAGTATTTATATCAGTCTCTTAATCGTAGAAATTCTTTTTTATATCTCTGAGTGATATCAGCTGATTACTAATAATTAATATTTCTATACTTTTAACTTCTCTATAACTTGATCTACTTATCAGATCTTTATTTAGTATTTTATACTTCTCTTTTACATCTATAAAATTTCTAGTGATCAGATTACCAGCTATCTCAGATATTTCACTAGAATTTAATATAATAAATGAATAACTGAAGAGATTTTCAGATCTGAGATAAATTAACAGTAATAAGAAGTTACTTTCTAAAGATAGTATTATATCTGATAGTCTATACATTATATCAGACAAGAAGTCTGAGATCCGTCATTTATAATACTCTGTTATAATATGATGAGTTGTTGACTTATATTATAAAATAAAGAGTCACTGATTACTGTAGATAAATATGAATAAGAGAGAAAAGTAAAAATATCAGAGATTTAATCTGTATAATTAGTAATTAATAAAGTACAAATGAAATAAATATAGATATATTACTCTGTAATATATTTTATATCATTAGCTAGTTTTCAGAGTTGAAATCTTATAAAGTTAGATAAACACTCTTTATACTGATATAGCTGAAAAACAAGAGACTGAATTTAATTATAGATACAGTCTGTAAATCTTGTATTATTCTATAAATAGACTAGAGAATCAGAACTCAGTTCTACTATACAGACAGTTATTATTATTAAATTATTAAACTTCTGTAAGAAAGTGATTTAAAGAAATCTATTTTCTGAAATATTAATAAATTAAGTAGTGTTAAGACTAAGATAACTAATGAAGAAATTACAGATAAGACTTATTTACAACTTGTTTTATTATTAATAGCATGTGTTAATTAAAACACAACTGATATTTATATCATTCAGAGTATTAATTATATTTTAAGTAATCTAATAGTTATTTATTATTCTCTGCACTGTGTCTTTTCTGCAGTTATAAGATACTTAGTATCTCTTTATCTGATAATGAAAAATAATGAATAAGATGAAGTTTCTTAAACAGTGATCTTAAAGTGAATAATAGTACTTGATATTATAAATACTTTCAGAAGCTCAAATTTAAAAATAGAAAATATAAAATAATAGAAGTTCTGAGAAAATTAACTTTTAAACATTACTCTATAAAAGTTAGCTTTTAATTTCATAATATATATATTTCTCATCAAAATTTATAAAGAGAAAACTTCAAGTTTAACTTAATCTTAAATCTGTATTAGTTGAAAATTGCAATTTTCATCACAAATTTCATTGAAAAAGAAATTATTTAAAAAAAAAAGATCATCTCTCATAACAAACAGAATCAAAGACAGCTTAATTCAGATTTTTCAGAGTTTTTCAATCTGAAGCAGAATCTCATATTATGAGAATTATCTGAGTAAGAGAGAATAGTTAAGTAAATAATAAGTGAGCTTTAAGTGTTTTTTTAATATTCAGTTTGACTCATCATTTCGCTTTAACATATTTTTAAAAATATGTACTCTCAAAATTAAACTGAAGATGATGACAGGCAGTTTTTACTACAATATTAACTTTTTAAAATGTGAATTACAATGCAATCATCTCTATCTCTTTATCAGTCATTTAAATTCTTAGTTTCAAAAAAATATGTATTTTAAGAACTGATAACTACTTTTATAAGATAGTTTTTATCTCAAGATATTTCTATCACACTGCTGCTTTTGTTACAAGTCACATTTTATTATAAGTCATTTTTTAAGAAGGTCTTGAGACATTGTAAGTCATGATATAAATCAT